TCACCTTGTGAATGCGCCTCCTCTTGGCTATCCGGATTTCTCCTTGTCATTTGTATTAGATACGGATGCCAGTGATACGGGCATAGGGTGGTCGCGTATGTTAGTCGCGTCCTGTCCACCGCGGAGCAGCGCTATTGTGTAACTCGTTGGGTGCTTTTGGCCATGGTATATTTCATACAGCAGTATAGGCCATATCTTTATGGCAGGGACTTTGTAGTTTGCATGGACCATGTAGCCCTCCAGTACCCCTTGTGAGTCGACCAGCCTTCCAGCCATCTTTCGTGCTGGTTGGAAATACTGCAAAAATACTCATTCAGAGTGGTTTACCAAAAAGGTCTGCAGCACTGCAATGCAGATGCACTTTCCCGCCTACCGCCGAGTGAGCAATGTGCATGCTCGGCGGGCACTGCCCGGTGTAAATCACCGGCAGCTGGGTCACCTCAGGTCGTGACGGCATCTAGAGACGCAGTACCAGCCGAGGGGGTTGCCCTAGGGGACAGCACATTGGGCCTCACGCATGCCGAGTCGGGACGGCTGAAGGTGGAAGACGTGTCATTGCTGGGCTTACGGCGCCGCGCTGAGTCGGATCGCGAAAATCTCGCTCCAAAGGGAGTGTCCCAGATAGTCCTTCGAGAAGGACTTTTGATGAGGTGGGATGAGGGGCTGCAGCGCCATTGTATAGTGGTTCCCACTGCTCTGTGGGGGAGAGTGACGCAGGTGGTGCACAAGGATACATTTTTGCACCTCGGAGTCTGGAAGACATTGTTGACGCTGAAGCGAAATTTTCATTGGCCGGATATGTCAAACGATGTGTACCTGCTGGTGAAGGGCTGTGCTGATTGTGTGCTGTGGAACCACCATTGAGAAGGGCTCAGCCTCCATTGCAATCCATCACAGTGTCCCGAATTAAAGAATTGGTTGCGCTCGACATTCTGGGGCCGTTTCCGGCTAAGCAAAAGGGGAATACATTTCTCCTGGTCGGTGTGGAATATTTTTCCGGGTGGTCAATGGCTTGGCCACTACCAGACCAATCTGCTGCATTCATTGCCGACACTTTTTTGCATGGCTACGTGATGGACAGGGGAGCGCCCATAGCAGCTTCTCACGGATCAAGGGCGCAATTTTTCGTCGACGCTGCTGCCTGAGTTGTGCGATGCTCTGAGCACCAAAAAGATTAGAACTTCACCTGCACAGGACCTTAACATCGATGCTCTGTCAGGCTGTTAATGAGACACAGACGGATTTGGATTTGCACATCCTGGGAGTCCTAGCAGCTTAGAGGATGGCCCCACATTCCTGTACAGGATTTTTCCCGTTCTATCTTATGTATGGGCAAGAGAACGAACACCCCATGGAAGCTCAATTGGGCATGGCCTTGAAAGTGTAGTGACTGTGAATGTCACTGTGTGGTGCCAGCCTTGCGAGGCCACGGCGGATAATATGTTTCCATTATGTGCAGCCTGGTTATTGGGCATAGTACCAGCCCTAGCGGGGCTTGGGTGAGCGCTGGTCAGAATGGAGGCACTGCGTACAGTGGGCGGTGCGGGCTCCCGGTGAGGGAGCGAGAGGGAGTGTCAGCCAGCCAGGGTTACGTTGGGGCATGATACGCGGTTGACCTGCCGACACATGACCGGATGATATCGGAGGGGGGCCACTGGTGGACGGGGGCCGCTGGTGGGTCACATGGTATAAAGGAGTTCTTTCGGAGCCTTCGGGAAAGAGCTCGAGAGATCTTGAAGGTGGGCAGGGTGAGGGGTGGAGCCAGCCCCAGCTCAGGCCGATATAACGGGGGCCTCGTGAGGGGCTCGGGGTTCTTCGGGTTGTTGGTGAAGAAGATCCACGTCGGGTTGAAGAAGTCTCTAGCCACGCGGTCCGGGACCCAGCTCGTGTAGGTTATGTTATGTTGTGTGTTGAGTTGGTGTAATAAATAGTGTTGCTCCCAAGACAATGCCTGCGACTCATTTGGACTCACTACAAGAGGAAAGAAGGCTACCATGCCCCCGCCCATGCAGGTTATGCTTGGGCGGTTGTTTGAGGCACGCGAAGCGGCTAGAGGGAACTCCTACCAAAGTGCAGACGGCTAACAAAAATAGCACAGGGCGGCGGGAGTATGTTCTTCCATGGAAAGTTGGGGACAAGGCTTGATTGCACTGCCCACAGGCACCGCCGGGTACGTCCTCAAAATTACACCGGCCATGGTGAGGGCCCGTTGAGGTGGTGGAGGTTCGAAGGCCACAGTGTGTGCGGATACAGGCAGGGCATCGCCTTTGGTTTATTCACCCGTCGCGTATGAAGCCCTCTGTTCATTTCCAGATAGACGGTTCATCCCCAAATCCTGTACGGGAATGCATTTAAACAGTCGATCACTTGATGATTCACTTCAAATCAGAACTAAGCCTGTAGCTATCCGAACGGTTAAAATTATTTCTATTTTTGTCAATTTCGATATATTCTATTAGTCTTAGCAAGTAGTAACTAGTTTTGCACATAACTTCAACACACATTTATATTTATGGGTTTAACAACACGTTTATATTTACGCAATCTCACCCAAAAAAAACCTCTATTATGATTAATATTGATCACGAAAGCCTACTACGTGTTAAACTGACTAACCTCTAAAGAGAGAGAAGGCTGTGTCTCTGGTGTAGGCCAATCAGTTTCAAAGACAATGCATATATTATCAGAGCACGTTTACTGATTTTCCACAAGTACGTGTGGTTAATGCAGACTATTCCTTGCAAAAGGTATATTTTTGTGTTTTATTGCCAGAAAGGTGGATAACGTATTCATATGTATTATATGTGTGCATGTATGTTTGTATGTGTTTACGTGTATTTGTGCCTATGTGATTCTAACACGGCAATTCGCACCCAGTCAGCCGAGTTCAGTTATTGGCCATACCTAGCAGTAGCAGCGGCAGAACTTTCCCTGAGCCTCTCTAACCGTAGGGATCTCGTGCAGGGGATGAATGGCTGCAATCTGTCACATCGAAAGCAAGGCCCCATGGCTGGGCCACTGTGAAAATGGTGGCCATCATTAAATGGCAAAATTGAAGTGCTGAACACAGCCGTCATACTTCGGAGGCCAATATCAGCCAAGGACTGGTCTCACATAGATACCTGACGTGTGCATTTGGCTTCACAAAGCCATCAATCCTTCAATCATATTTACATCATTTAGGACAATGAGAAGCACTTTATAGAAAGTCAATGACTGCAAGGCAGATAGCACGTGGCCACTTCCATGGCAATATGGAATTTCTACTCTTGGCTCAGAACTGCCAATGGAAATAAGAACGGCTTCCCAAACTAATAGTTAGTTCGAACAGCTGGGCTTCTGTTGCGATGATCCACGAAAGCCATTTGCAACCAGGACAAACTAGATTGTAGATATATCTATAGGCCGGAACTATTGTAAAAAAGATATCGCAAACACATGCTGGCTACATTTGCATAGAGGCGAGCTGGGAATTGATGTCACTGGCGGAAGTAAAGTTAATTTGCATAAGCAGCACCGATTGTCCTTCAGATAATACACGTTCAATAAATGCATTTCATTGGCCAAGCTGTAGTGAAGCTGCAGTGCAGCTGCACAGAATATTGAGCAGAACCACGAGGGTTCACTATGGTCAGGGGTTGACAACCAAAATAACAAGAGCGAATGTTTTTTATTCGGTAAAAAAAACCCAACTCAATATTTTAAGAAGCCGTATTGCACTGTGGTGGTGAATACGAGGCGGTGATGGTCCTTTAATAAATAAAGTCACCAAGCAGGTTGCCGACCCAGAGGCTCGGTGTGCCTGTCAATTACTGCAGATGCTCCCACATCTTACCTTTTTACATAAAGCAAAATGCATTCTTAATCTCACGTACATTCGTTTACCTTTAAAGCACGTTAAAACATTGCACTGTGCACGTAAATTCAACCGTATGCTAATTACGGTGTATGGTTTTTTTCGATGTGAGAAAATAAATCAGGTGACCAGGAGGAACCCGCGTAGAACACAATATACAAGTGCCACACAAAAAGGCAAAGAATCGAACCCAGGTCCTGCTGTCAGGCACAAATGTTAACACCGTGCCACGTTGTCACCCAAACGGGGGCGAGTATCGAGCAGGCATCTTCAGGGGGCATGACTGCACTCCTGCAAGACACCACTCACTGTTCTGGTTGGGCAAGTTGCCGTTGAACATATTCGCTGCCACTTCCAGGTGAAAAAAACAAATGTGCATCGCTGTAGACAAAAGGGTGCATGCCCTCTGCCAGTCTCGCCTGAACCTGCTGAAACCTGTGGCTTCCTTCCCCGTCATCTGCCGCTCCTCGCGGAGCTGTGGAGGAGGGGGTGGGGGTTAGTAAGGAGCCACCGTCTCGTATTCACCACGTGGCAATGCGGCTCTTGGAATATTGAGGGGGAATGTGTTTGTTACCGAATTCCAAGCAAATTGGCTCGATTTGTTATTTTGATTCTCTACTCCTGCCTTAGGCCCTCGTGTGTTGTAGGCCCTGGTGTGTTGTAGACCCTCGCTTAGGCCCTCCATTCCACATTGCAGTGACAGCTGAGCGACAGTACCACGGCCATCCGAATATGTTTGTTATCTTTGAATTATGATGACATCAGTCAGGACTTAGATAAAGTTATGGAGAGAAAACACAAAAGTATTGCTTGAAGAAATGAGTGGCAGCGAGTGATTTCTCTTTAATGGATTTACCCATTTCCACAAGCTCAACGGAGACCTACCTACTCGCCATCAACACAGCAGGGCCGGAAGCAACCACTTGGTTCAGGGAATTTGCATCCGCTGAATAAAATAAACTTGAATATCTTGAACGGGTTAACCTATAACATTCACCAGCGTCACCAAAGCAACGTTGGCTCAAATTCGTTGTCCATGACAAAGCGGCCTCATTCGTAGACACGGAAGCCACCGGATTCTCTCACCGTCAAATGTCAACACCTGCAGTTTGGCAGGAAGCCCGCAAGGCACACCGAGTCAAATTTAAGCATTGTGCGGCCACATTCCTCACCGTGCTGATGCAGGATGCTATAAATATAAAGGCCGTGCGATGTTCGTATCCGTGAGAGTGTGGCAGCATCGGTCGCGGCAGGCTTTGTTGACGGACGTGATGTCGGCCTCTCTTCATTACCTCGTTTTAGCCTCCTGTCTACTATTTCAAGGTAAACTCATACTTTTTGTGTTGCCGAACTACTGTATAATTTGTTAATTCAACAACGAAGGTTATTTGTCATACGAAAACACGTTAAGGCGGTCCTGCCATCGGAATATTTGGCAAATTGTTATTGAAAGAATGTTGTTTGAATTGTGGGCAGAAATTGAGTGTCCACCCGTAGAAAACCCCACACAACGGGCAAGTGGAATAAAAAAAAACAGGTCCGCACAGATGGGTTCACGAATTCATCTGTCGTACTGTCCCCTGCTGGCCACCTCAGTGCAGTGGCGGTTGCTGTGAGTCTCAGATTATGTCTCAGATTATTATTATCTGTGATAATTATCTGTGAGACTCAGATAATTATAATTCACCAACAGCGGTCGTCCCCAGCATGGCGTCACTGGCGCGTAGCACGTCGCCCGGTATATTTGCTTTTCATCAACTTAAAATAAGTAATATTTAAATAAAATTAAAACACGCTTTTATGAAATGTAATGGTAGAACTCGAAGACTCCAGGAAGTGGCCCCGAAGCTTGCAATAACGTAAGGGACCGTGGCCAATTACAGCCAAAGTCAGTTGACCACGGACAAATATAACATAAAAAAAGAAAGTAAATTTTTGTTTTAATGATAGAATCTAGTATTGTCATCAGTATGACATAAGTATACCAAGTTTTCAGTCGATACCACATTGGGAAGTGGGTTAAAATAGAGTTACAAGATTTGAGGATACAACGACTACAACAACAACAGAGTGAGTTAAAAGCGTGTAAATAAAAAACACAGTAACTTATTTCAACAAGAGAAAAATGGTTACTTGGTTTAACGCTCGAAATTCTAGCTTCTGTTAACATTAGAAACGTGACACTTTTTTGTCACGTAAATATGGTAATATAAGTGGTACCTTAACACTAGAGATGGTAACTTTTGAAGCAACTTGAGTCTAATTATACTACCTACCCAGAACCCCAAATGAAGACGATCGCGTTGTTGGTGGTAAAGCAGAATTGTGATTAGATCAGAGATTCCACCGTCACCTGCGATGGAAAAAAACGCATTTGTTATCCACGATCTGTTTATCTGCACGTGTTGCATATTATAGTGACAACACGTAGTGGATTAGGGCACTGTGTGTTGTTCCGTAGCCTGCGGATCGCAGATGAAGAGGCCGTATGCCACAACACGAGTTTCGCCATCAGCTCGATTCCCGAGCCGTCATAATGTAGCGTTCTATTCCATTACAGCAATAATAGAAATTCAGTTTAATTAATTGGGCTGTACATATCAAAGTAAAATGGATAGTGATAAGCGGTACACGTTTGTAGCTGGCCACGGCACATTTGTAAATACCCGCACGGTGCATTGTGTTAATCTTTGTCTCCGGGGTCCTTCGGTTTTTTCCTCCACGTTTAGAAACACGCGTTTACAGTATTTGGCTATTGATATAAATTTCCACTTCGTTGAGTTAGCATTTGTGGCCAAGTCGCTTCTGAAAAATAGCTACACAGCTTAGTGGGCCTTACCTGGTAAAATAATATATACAGTATAGTTTAGTTTTATAGTTTAATATTCAGCTGTTTTAACTTGACTAATTTTTCACACGTATTATTTTCGTACTGTATGTTTTTTTACATCCAAAAATATTTCAGACGGCGACAATTCTAACGTGTCCACAGCATACTATGACGACGATGATGATGATATCATTATGATGACGGTGCTAATGATACGCTGATGATGATGCTAAACACCGACCGCTAAGGGTGCAGCACATGTACTGCATCTTAACCAACACTCGTCCAGAAAGCTGGCCACGGCACATTTGAACGGAAAACTCAATTCAATAGAAGGGTCTTTACTTCACTGATGATTAGTATAGGGAATATCCAAGTCACTCACGACCTTTTGAGATCTCAATTTAATGACAGGTGGCCGCTGCAGTCAATTACGGATGAAGGGCATTCTAAGCCATTCAGCTCCCCAATGAGTAACATCCATGCCCTCATTCAGCAGCGGAATTGACAAAACGGGGCTGTGCATGTTCAATAAATTGAATCGACGACGCGAGAGTGGGGGGCACCACTTCTGACGTAACATACTCTCCGTGGGGGGCGTGTGGAGGTGGGGGTATGAGAGGGAAGCAATAGTGGAGCGCATTGTGTTACGAACCCGACGACCCAAGTTCGATTCCCGCTCCAAATTCCCGCTGGGTCGACCCATCCTTAAATGAATACCCAGTGCGTGCGATGTGGTAAACATCAGTATTGGGGAGACAAATGCGGCTGGGCGTGATACTGGCCGCACCGTTCCCTCCTGTGCCCTCCCGGCCTTCATCGGTGCTACTCGCTCACGGCAACTTGTCCCAACAGTCTGTTAAGGACTCCACGGGAGATCTCTTTTTGGTATCATAAGGCAGTGGTTCTCAACTGGGGGGCTGGCGTGGCAATTTCCCAGCGGGTCCGCGAGGTGATTTATAAAGTGACATTATATCATAGATGAGAGTCATTGGTGAATGTATGAATCTTCCAACATAAAAGAACTACGATAACATTTTTTATTCAGATGATAACCGAGAACAATATAAAATACCTCTCTAAAACGCACTGATCGTAAACAAAGTGGTTTCCAAGAGTAACCAGCCAACAAATGACGTCACACGTGCAGAGCGTCCGTACATTTTGTATTTGCTTTCAGCTACCAGCTAGTTAGGATACCTCACAAAATGGGCAATTGGTGAAAATATTCATGCGTATTATTCATTTAAAACTTAAAGCTATTTTATATTTGACCAGATACCCACTGAGCAACGTAGCTCTTATTCAGAAGCGACCTGGCCACCACAAATGACAGCTCAACGAAGTGGCTCGTCACGGCGGCCCTCGTGGAGTGAGTCCAACTGAGTTGCAGACGTTGTCGTAGGGAGCAACGCGTTTGATTAAACTACGAGCGGGAAGCACCCGGCGTTGCCCGGGGGGGGGAAATGTATTTAAAAACTTCTCAAAACTTAAAAACATAACATATACAAATGAAAAAAAAAACTTTGATCATTAGCTCATTAATAAAAAAAAACCCAACGCGCGGTGGAAAGAAAACTTGCGCTCGCGCGCCAAGATTCAATTCTTTAGATCGCGCAAAGGAATCGAAGTTTGTAGATTTCTTTAGAGCGACCTATTCCCGTTTAATCGATACCACAAACGCTTACCAGATATCGATTCTCACCACACACTTCATGGTCACCCCCCCCCCAAATACAAATGTCTATTTTTATATGTTTTACATTGTGTACAGTATGGGAGCTAGCCACGTGGCAAATTAAGAGTTCGTTACCTATTTCCCCCCCCGAGCCGCGCATTTGTGCTGGGATACACGGCCTACGCGGAGGGTTGGGGGGATGCATGACGTCAGCAGGCACACTGCGTCACGCTGCCGCATGCGGGTGACACGACAGAGATGTGACGTCACCGCTCACTTGCGTGCAAAATATATCCATTATTGCGGCCCCCTCTCCCAAAAAAATATACAAACGTCTATTTTTATAATTTTTGCATGGTGTACAGTCTGGAAAGTACCCACATGGCAAATTTCATGTTTGTTGCATGTCGGGAAGTACGCTAAACATTTTGAACAGACACACATTCACAAATTTCCCTTTTATATATATAGATTAACACAACATACTCCAGGCTATTAACACAACATACTCTCGGGTGGTGACCACCCAACTAACCACGCTACGGCAGAACTAAACACGGTTGGGTCCACTATCCCGGTCCGGACCACAAGCTGGGTCCCGGACCGCGTGGCTGGAGGCTTCTTCAAACTTGACGTGGATCTCCTGCCTCTTCATCAGTAAGAACCCCGAGCCCCTCACAGGGCCCCCCTTATATCGGGCTGGGCCGGGGCTGGCTGCGCCTCTCGCCCTGCCCACCTTCTCGATCTCTCTCGCCCTTGCCCGAAGGCTCTCGAGAGTTCTTCCCGGACCATGTGACCACCCATGGTGGCCCCCTCCAGTATCATCCGGTCACATGTCCCCAGGTCAGCCAAAGTATCATGCCCCCAACGTAACCCCAGCTGGCTGACACTCTCTCGCTCTCTGAACGGGAGCCCGCACCGCACGCTGTGCGTGGTGCCACCGCGTTTAACCAGCGCGCACCCAAGCCCCCACTAGGGCTGGTACTAGACCCCGTGTCCGGGGTGTACACACAACAGTATACATCCCACCGTGGCCTCGCAGGCCCGGCACCACACAGTGACATTCCCAGTCACTACACTTATAGCAGCCAAATACTCTTAACGCACGTTAATTCTAAATATGGAGAGAGAAATCGAGAAGCCGGATAAAAATCAACACGACCACCGCAGAGAGAGAGAAACATGTAAACTCTAAATATACAGGCGTCAGGGTCGGGATCGAATCCACGACCTCCTGTATATGAGGCGAGGTAGTAAATATCTCCTAGCCATCGTGGCGCCCATATTTATTTCCTCAGAACCATGTTGGGGTCAGGCAAAGAGACAGGAGTACCTCGGTTGAAACAAAATTCAACAAGAGGCTATAGTCGCCAAACAAAACAAGGTTGAGTACCACTGCAATTAGGCACCGATTATTTTCACTCCGGCAAATCTGCCGTGAAAATGCTTAAACTTAACTAAACTATTTTTTATTTTACCAGGTAGGTTCCACTGAGCTATACAGCTCTTTTTCAGAAGCGACCTGACCAGAAATGATAGCTCAACGAAGTGGCTTATTGTGGAAATTTATAGCAGCCAAACACTCTTAACCTGTGTTTCGAAATGCGGAGGGAAAAACCAGAGGACCCGGAGAAAAATCCACGTGACCACGGGGAAAGAGACACGCAAACTCCAAATATATACCAGGCGTCATGGTCGGAATCGAACACACGGCCTCCTGGGATTCGAACACAGCCTCCTGGGGATCTAACACACGACCTTCTGGGGATCAAACCCACGGCCTTGACATCTCGCCACTGTGGCGCCCCTGATCCGGAATAGCTGGCTCTGACCACAGCGCCACCTGGTGGCTCACGCGGCACACATTTACAACCAGCGCCATGATCCCCTCTTCTCACTCAGTTTACCATGGGACCCCCTTGCCAGCATCAAAGTATGTAAAATAAAAATAGATTTTACACTTACTGGCAATTAAACCGGAGGTGTTAAGATGTTCAAACACCAAATAAATGCCTTTTGCAAGGAACCAAGTCTGCATTCACCACGGGTACTTGTGGTGAACATGCAAGCATGCTCTGATAACAATATATGCATTGTCTTTGAAACTCCCTCTTTGTTTGCGCTGCTAACAGGATACACATACAGTATAATGAATCCGCGACAGAATGGATGCTAAATTATGTCAATGTTTTAAGCCCATATATATTAGTTAATTGGCCGTGGCTTTGCCCATGTACAGTACAGTATTTACAAAATAGTGTGCATCAAACACCACCTCGAATTAAAATCCTAATGAATGGAAGATATCCGTCTGTGTAGGGTTATTTTCCTCTTAGTTTCAGTGTTTGGGTTTTTTTCTTTACTGGAATTCTGTTGTCAAGCGCCTTATTGTCAATTACGCTATATATACATTTTGAGTTTTACTAACTTTAACTTACTTAACATTAAACACGCCGATTGATATCTCTGTCATCTCTATATTGTCTTCAGCTTCCTTGTAATTTATAAAGCGCGGCCTCTTAATAATTAATAATGATTTACATTTGTAAGGCGTATTTCATCCAAAGGACCCCAATGTGCCAGTCCGTGTGCTATTGTGTCCATGGGGTTTCCTTTGCCACGTGAACGCGCACTGCCCGCGCATTCGCGTGGAAAACACGGTCGTGGTGGGCGGGAGCGGTGGTGTAGTGGTTAGCGCGCTGCACTACGAACCCAGCGACCCGAGTTTGATTCCCGCTCATGGCAGTGACGATTATCTAAATCGGTTCTGGGCCTCCCCTAGGTGTGTAAACATCACCACTAGGGAGACAACGGCGGCCAGGCATTTTGGCCTTTGTCGGTGATCGCTAACAGCACTTGCTCCAACAGTCTGTCAAGGCTGAATGGGCTGAATGGGGCCGCTGAGGTGCATGTCCTCTACACCATCAATGTCCCTTTGCCCCCCCCCTAGTTCTGTCCTAGCAGTAGCACTGTCTTGGTGGCCCCCCACAAAACTGTTCTACAGCCCCCATCACTCACCCGAGAGAAGCTGGCCCTGCTGCCTGCCAGATCTCCTGGCTTTGCCTGACGTTGCATGTTCCTTTTAGGCGCAGTCGGACAGACGACGTCGAGCGGCGGCTTGGCCAGCTCCAATGGCACGCAGGCGCCGCTCAGCTGCCGCGAGGAGCTGAATGCATCGGTGGGCCAGTTCCGCTACAACACAAGCATGGGCCCCAGCTGCAATTGGGACATTAATGTGCCCTCCGGAAGAGTCGTCACCATCGTCTTCTTCAGGTATGCTGACCAACCCCGCCGTTGCGTATGTTAGTGCGGTCCGTTCTGTCCTACAAGGTCTCATGTTTTCACAAAACGGAATTGATAGGACGCAATGAATGTATTCGGGAACACATTTTCTGCTTCATAACGCGGGTGCGAATTGGATATAACGCGGTCGAGCTGAATGGAACTACGTCGCACGAGTAGGGATAAGCGGTCGTACGGCTGCTTCGGCGTAGCATCACACAAGGCATTGGGATGCTGCTGGATGCTTCTAGATGCTACCCACACGCCACAGTCTTTGTTGGGCCTGTGTACACATCCCACTTGTTATCACGGACTTATTTACCCTATATTTTTATTATTTATTATAAAAAATGATTTTTCCATAACGCGGTGTTCTTCAGGAATGCAACTACAGCGTTATCGGAGAAGAGGCTGTATGTATGTTGAACTTCTTTCGCACCGTACATAGCCAACTGTGCTAATCGTAGGTGCGGGGGAAGGGCAGCAAGTGACATGGACCTGGTTTCTCAACTCTCAAGAAAGCATCTTCTTGGTTCTTTCGGTAAAGTCACGTAGAAGGGAAGTAATAAAAGAATAAAAATTATACATAAAATAAAATAATTCTCACGACGTTTCGGCTACAACGCAAGCAGCCGTCTTCAGGTGAAGAAACGTCGTGAGAATTATTTTATTTTATTATGTTTTATTTTTATTATTGTATTACTTCCCTTCTACGTGACTTTACCGAAAGAACCAAGAAGATGAATCCCTGCAGTCACGAAAGCTTTAAATCGAAATCTCAAGAAAGCGTTGGTGGTCTCATTAAACGACAACATGGCCACACGTTCAGTTGGATCTTTTCAGCTGGTGGTCTGGATCAGGTTGAGGAGAGACTGTACGAGCAATGCTGTGCACCTGTGTGTGTTGATCAATTCTTTTGTGAAATTGTTAATTTTACCAACATACAGATTATGCAATCTGAATATCGAAAATGTTCCAACACCGAGCCAACACTCATTTTTCTATGGACGTACTGCTGGGTGTGAGATTCACTCGGTTCAAGACAGCAGAACAGAGCTGTTCGGTCTCTGCCAACTGAAGTCTTCTCTGCCGTGATAATCGTTGCTTTTAAGAAGTAAATAATATTTTCTCTGCCGTTTGGTTTAATGCAATTCTCTATGCCATCCACGCTTACTTCTCAGCTCTTTGCCAAATATGGGCGCGTTACAAATTTTGCATTGGCTCCAAGTCGACGTGGGTTGTTGCGTGAGCTGTTCCGCCCGTCTCCGCTGCCGCAGGACCGGCGACTGCAGTGGCAGCGTAACGGTTCGCGACGGCAGCAATGCCACCACGGAGCTGCCCCAGAGCTGTGCATCCAGCAACTACCACAGCTACTCATCGCCCGCCGGCGGTGGCAGCACCGTGAGTGTCGTCGTCGACACAAGCCACCTGGGTGGCAACTACTTCGACTTGAGCGGCTTCTACTACGCATCTCCAGGTGGGGCCGCTGGCTCACACCCGCACCACCCAACGGCGCATACGGCAACTCTCCTGCACCGGTCACCTTGCTTGCGAGTAATCATTCGCGTTCTGCCACTGCGCGCGTTCGTTTGTCTGTTTTACAGCCGATGCACTCTGCGGAGGCGTCATTGAGCTGGCGGAAGAGACCATACTGTCACCGGGCTTCCCAGGCGACTACCCTAGCCATGCCGAGTGCTTCTGGACTCTGTTGGCGCCACCGGACAACGGGTTCACACTCTCCGTGTATGACTTCCGGTGGGTAATCTGACGCGGGCAGGTGCGCGATGCGTGGGTTACCGTGGCATATAAAAAATTTACTCACACCTCCGATAAGCATGGTTGGCTACATACGGTGCGTAAGAAGTTCAACTTACGTACAGACATATGTGACATGGTCGCTCGGAGCCATCTGTGCGAGGCCCCCGCGGTTCGTATTGTGGTCTTTGGCCTGGTCGATTAGAAGCAGCCTAAAGCGAACATTGTCTACACTCTACGGAGACATTGTGTTGTTAGGGCAGCTTCAAACCTGGAATCCAGACAGTGACACTCGGGCATTGCACATTAAAGGGTCCCAGCAATTAAAGGCGTTCTGCTGTGTGGAAGGGAAGAGCCCAATCGCAGCTCGGAACGGTGGAGCCGGGTGGAGTGTCAGGGTAGAGAGGAGCAGCGCAGCGCCGGGTGTTGGTTAGCCTGCAACCCAGCACTGTGGAGGCAGCAGCGAGGGGTAGTGGATCAAGGTATGACCGCAGTACAACAAGCGAATTCATTTTCATTGGCTCGTGAACTGAGTGTTACCCACACTCTCATGCATGGGCTTTTTCCAGGAGCTCCGGTTTCCTCCTGTAAGTACAAACACTCATGAATGGAAGTTGAGCAAAGATCCCATTATAGGACCTCAGAGCTTTGGCAGTTGCTAGCACTGGTTCTGGTTGCCTAACCGCTCGTTTGTGGGTTTTCCTCGTGCATTTCTGAAAATAAATAAAAAACTGCGAGGCACGTTACACACTCAACAATGTTTATACGTACGACCGCAGTGAACACCACTTCTCTAATGGGGGAAACCAGGGTTCAGTTGTGTTACCGGGTAGTGCTGTAGCAGAACATTCAACATCTTGGGGAGGGTTCCTAGTTCGCATCCTGGTTGAGAGATTAACGCAACCCATCATCACACAAGGGTGGATAAAATTAGTGCCATGTTTTTTTTTCGTGGGAACACAACAGTGGTTGTCCTATGAATAGCCTAGCAACTATCACAGTAATGTGGAATTTATACAACCGGCTCCAAATCTCTGCAGTTTAGGGTGGGTATGCTTTTTAGTAAATATCCCTAAAGACCCGAGTAATGTCATACAGAGGTTTTCTCGACCAATAATACGATTCGTAATTAATTTATTTTGAATGAGATCATTGTCGTATGATGTGTAAAAAAATGAAAGTACGTTTTACGCATGAGACCAAACCCAAAATAAATCGTGACTCAAAATGAAGCCTGGACCATTACGTGTGCGAAATGGATTTATCGGTAAGAAATGGTGCACTTTTTTATTGGCCAATCCACTTCATTAACGGTGGGTGAACCGGTGTCCTCCTCAAAGTCCAATTCGATAGCTGCAATGGGAAGGCTGTTCACTCATCGGGAAGTTCTTTCATGCAAATTGTTGCCTCGGTTTGAGCGAAGGGCAACACAATGCATTCACTCCATCCGCCGTGCGCTCAACCGAAGCTGCCTCATCCTGAACTGGAACCTGAAGCTCACTTATCATCAAGCAATCTGCTTCACAGCTAAAACCAGTGTCCACTCAAAGTGTGCATTCGTTTGCATGCTAATGGACGTTTCAAGCAGGAAGTCGTTGCCCTGTGATAAAATAAGTAAAATTTTAAATAACTTTTTTTTAAACACGCTTTAATGAAATGTGGCCCGAAGCTTGCCATAACTTAAGGGACCGTGGTGATTTACAGCCAATGTCAGTTGAGCGTGGACAATTAGACCCAAGCTGAAACATCTATATATATTGTAAAAAGTCAAAAATTGTGGGTTTGTGGGTTTGTGTTGGTTGTGTGGTCGCTCACTTGGCTCTCCAACGGTGGGGTTTACGCTAAAAAAACATTGCCAGGTACCACGTCGTAAGCCCCGCGGCCAGCAAGCGCTATTCCTTTTTCACATCCTTTAGATTAGTTTAATTAGCGATTTAGTGTGATTTTTGTGCGCTTCACTATTATTTATTTATTTATGATGCGTGCACGACCATACCCACTCACGCACCTTTGGTGGGGGGAACGTGCCATGCCAAGTCGCACACCTTCGGTGGGAGTGAGGGGGACATTTTATTTCGCGTTAAAATGCTATAAAAATACACTAAACGCTGAGGCAAATTATTCACTGTGTCATGTCCCCACCCCGATGCGTGCACTTACTAATATATACAGTCGCTAGATGCTAGTGTAATGCGAGCAAGGACAGGGTGGGCGCTGCCTCCGCACCACTCACCCGGGCCGGAGTATTAAGGGAGGTGGAGCCTGGTCATCGGGGTGAGTGGGGGCGGAGTCAGGGTCACGTGAGGAGGAGGAGGAGTCAGGGTCACGTAAGGAGGAGGATATAGGGGGAGAACCGGAAGGGGATCGGGAGTCGAGACAGAGTAGAGATAGAAGGAGCCACGCAGGGTGCTGGTGGAGGGGTGGCACGAATTGCCACGCGGTCGGAGTCACGGCACCGTCGGCCAGCGGTGTACGTGGAGCAGCGGAGTGGCTGCAGAGTGTGCGGGAGCACACGGAGCAGCAGAGTGGCTGCAGAGTGTGCGGGACACACGGAGCAGCGGAGTGGCTGCAGAGTGTGTAGGGCACACGGACAGCGGTGTGGCTGCAGAGAGAGCGGAGGACTCGAACGGCGTGCGGAGGGCACGTGACGGAAGAGGTGCGGGTCCGACCGGGGACATCGCGGGGTGCGAGACAAGAACCAAATAAAGGACAGACGAAGACCAACATCGCCTAAGAGTCCTTTATTACATTGGAGTCAGAAGTGAGACGGCATGTCGAAACAGCTCAGAAGAAAGAATATACCTGCACCATCTTCTGCACCATCTTCTGAAGACGACGACGATCTTTCTCCGGCGGTGGCGCTACCAACGATGGAAGGTGGGGGCGACGCGTCGGGAGTGCAAGATGTTGCCGGCTCAGCAGGGACCGTCTGCATTGGTGGGCGCCGAGGAGGGATGGCGACACGTGGCGGCCCAACTTGAGTCGCTGAAGGCTGTTTTAACGCAGTTATGCGCCCTGGTGACGCCCACGACGAGTCCGGGGAGGCCAAGCGGGGAGCATCCGAGTGGGGCCTTGTCGACGCTTCCAGCCCTCTCCAACACGCGGCACGAAGCGCCATCTTGGGGTGGTCGGGGAGGAACGGCGGGAAGCCGCCATCTTGATGCCTCCACCGCGGGAAGCCGCCATCTTGGGCGTGGTTGGGGACGAACGACGGGGAGCCGCCATTTTGAACACGTTGCAGAGTGACGCCATCTTGTCGCTATCGCAAGTATCACCATCGGCGGATGACGGCGGCGTGGGGACCCGCAGCCATCGTCTCCATAGGCGGAGATTGGAGCACATTCGCCTGCTGTTTTCAAGCGGCGGTACGATCAGCAAAATGGACGGATGCGGAAGCCCTGGAGGTCTTGTCAACGCTTCTTGATGATGAGTCCGTCAGGTTTTTCCGTTCCATCAAGGTCGCAAAGAAGACGACGCTACAGCGGGTGTTTGAAGAAATGGCGGAGGGGTATGAGCCCCCGGACGATGCACATCGCAGGTTCGTGCAGCGGCAACGGGCACCTGAAGAATCGCCGGTGGCATTCCGGGGCGCTGTGATGGAACTAGCTATGGCCGCGTATCCGGAGACAGAGCCCGACTTGAACGGCGTGCGGAGGGCACGCGACGGAAGAGGTGCGGGTCCGACCGGGGACATCGCGGGGTGCAAGACAAGAACCCAATAAAGGACAGACGGAGACCAACGTCGCCTAAGAGTCCTTTATTACACTAGCACTATAGGCAGTAGACCGTTTGTTTATTTATCACGCGCATCCGACCATACCAACTCACGCGCCTTTGGTGGGGGACATTTTCTTTCGCGTAAAAAATGCTATAAAAATCTTCACTGTGTGATGTCTCCCCCACCCCGATGCATGCAGTTATTACTTATATACAGTCACAAGATGTAGCAGGTACCACCACAGTCGGTATGCACTGCTGTAATCATAGCAGGTACCAACCACCACAGTCAGTATGCACTGCTGTAATCATAGCAGGTACCACCACAGTCGGTATGCACTGCTGTAATGAAACCAGGTACCATCACAGTCGGTATTCACTGCTGTAATCATAGCAGGTACCACCACGGTCGGTATGCACTGTTGTAATCATAGCCGGTACCACCACAGTCGGGATTCACTGCTGTAATCATAGCAGGTACCACCACAATCGGTATGCACTGCTGTAATCATAGCAGGAACCATCACAGTCGGTATGCACTGCTGTAATCATAGCAGGTACTACCACAGTCAGTACGCATTGCTGTTAGATTTTTAAGAGTAGTTTTGAATTATTTTTAAGACCCGGGCAACGCCGGGTACTTCCCTCTAGTAACATATTTAAAAATGTTTAAAAAGATATATATTTTTTTATTTTTAATGATAGAATATACTATTGTCATCAGTATGACATAAGTATACCAAGTTTACAGTCGATACCACATTGGGAATGGGTAAAAAATTTAGTTTGCTCGTTGGTTGTTCTTAATTGTTGTTGGTATGCACACTCTTATCTTTTGCAGATAGTGGCAGCCAGGACGGCTATATTTTACGAAGGGGGGGGGGGTGATGTAGTGACATACTAGACATCACTAGAGGGCAGCCATAGTACCCAGTGACGGGGGGTGCTGTAGGGGCATGGCCCTGGCAACGGTGATAGAGAGCGCGCATGAGGACGTGGCCTTTGGATGAACCCGGGAGGACACGGGACCGGACGAGGTGGAAGGGGCTACCCCCCCAAGGGGGGCGAGAGGGACACGTGATGGGGAACCAGAGCCCTCGAGAAGAATCTGGAATTGGGCGTGGCCAGGAGTGGATATAAGCCGGGGCGGAGAAGCTGACAGGGTCGCCATCGTTGGAATGCTGTCAAAGAGAGATGGGGCCCGCCCGCCAAGCCTTGGATTTGTTTGTGCATGGTGGTCACCCATCCAGGCACTGCCCAAGTTCAGATCTGCTTGACTTTCG